CCACCACCACCGCCGCCGCTACCACCACCACCACCACCAACAACAACAACAACAACAAAACCAACACTAACACCAACACCAACACTAACACCAACACCAACACCACCACCACCACCACCACCACCACCACCACCAACAACAACAACAACAACCACCGCACCAACCGCACCAACAGCAACAGCACCACTACTTTTACAACCACCACCAGCACTTTGACGATGGCGATGATACATGATGATAAGGAAGACTGTGATGATCATGGCAACAATGAAAACACTTCAGATTAACGCGCAGATCGGCACCATAGCTCCATCTTGCGGATGACATTCCCAGGGCCACTGCAGCGTCACGTGCTTGTCGTTCTTCTCGAACTTTGTGCCACTGCGCCGGAACCTTCACAGCCAGTCTGCAGGCTGTGGCTCTAAGACACTTCAGGACTCAGTGATTAAGCTGACTGGTAGTGACTGTCTCCAACAAACAAGCAGCATCCGAGCTTGCAGACCACATTTCAAGTTGTGAGTTGAGCTTCCTTACAAGCCTCTTCATGTGCACGGTCAACAGCGGTGGCAGTGGCTGACAGAGCCATACCTCCCATGGATCTACAGAGCGCATGCCAAATAATTGAAGCCAAGTCAGAAATAGGGAATCCAATACAAGTCAAACCATACTTCACGGTCAGAAAGCAGGATAACCAGCTGCCGCTTACAAGTGGACCGGGCATGAACCAAAATAAAAAGCTCCAAACAACTCTGGATGACGCTGCTTCGGAACCGTTTCATTTTGAGGTGCATCCCATGGCTTAGCCGGTGAGGCTGGGATCTGTCTCTCATCGGCTTCTGCTCCAGGAAAAAAACGTTTGTAAGAGATGCACTGAGGGCCGTTGAAGCATATCAGCGGGGAGAAGTGAAAGCAGGATACATACATTACTATACATTACTATACATTACTAATCAACGATGTTTTCCGCTCAGAAGTGGCTTCTTGTGCAAGCACCCATTTCGCCGATGCTGCTGATGTCTGCACTTCTCTGAGCCATGCACCCTTCGAGATGCGAAGCTTCGTACCGTCACCTGGCCCAGTGCAAATACGTTCGTTACTTCATTTGCACACCGCATGCGATGCAACACAAATATTGGCAAACAGGCGATCATACCTCTGCTTGTGATGACATGCAAAGGCGGCAGCTTTTGCGCAGCGCTTGCACAATCTTGATTGAGAACTGAGCTGACAACTTTGGGTTCCGGCTGCCAAGTACACCATCATGCACAATCACTGCTTAGCAGCGGGAACCAAGTAGCTCAAAGCCCCCGCTCATCTTTCCATGCGTAGAAGACCGGTTTCAAGCGATTCCTGGGAATCAATGCCCATGTTGCCTTTAGAGTTCTCTTACATAGGCATTGTGGCAGGCATCAGATCACACAAATATGAATGCCATCTGCAAGCTGTCCACCCAATTCCATGCTCAACATGTTGAGGGCCCAGCTGGAACGAAACCCAATCCACCTTCCTCGTTTGGCTGGCGGCATGTCCCAAAAGGCATCCCTCCCCTCCCTCCGCGCTAACGAATCGAATGCTACATGAGACCAGGTGAAGGCGAGGTTTTTGTTTGGTCAAGACGTCAAGAGAAAGTCGATCCAACTAAGATTTAACTAGACAGGAAAGAGAGGGAATGACAAATTGATTTAAGTACTGTCTGCTCTTTTTTGACATGTTTTGGGAGGTCCTGGGCATTCAAAGGTGTCAAAGTCTGAGAAGGCTCCATGCGAGAGCTCGATCTGTTGGGAGGCTCTCTGCAAGAGCTCAATAGATGATACTGGTTGAAATAGTAGTCGCAACAGCAGTGATGAAAATGAGAACAGTACTTCAAATACTAAAATGATAAGAATAAACAACCAACGAGCAATTGTATCAACAAGAAATATGAGAAGGCCCACTTAATAACAATGGTCGACTGACAATACTACTAGAAATAGTACAAACGATAAAGATAAGAGTAATAGCTAAAAGCAAAAGTAACGATGAAAATGCTAACTGCTCATAGTTTTCTGACAACTACATGACAGTGTTTGTTATACTGGTTGTTGCCACTTATATTACCGCGATTTGTAATCATGGTTCGTATTGTTGCTGCACTATCTTGTTAGCAAGAATACTACTATCCTTCTCGTTATTCTACTGAGAATAGCGTTTGCGGATTTAGCAACTCTTAAGAAATAAGCGTACTAAAAATGACCAAGCAAGAATGATGATGAGAGAAGCAAGTTCTCATGGACTCTTCATGACACTGCATGGCCAGGATTTGCATTTGTTTGCAAAGAAGAAATAGGCGGTGGGGCTGGGGGGGGGGAAGCCCCCTCTCCCCGCCCACTTGCACAACATAAACAAAGATAAACATACAGTTCATTGCCAACCCTTTGTGTGATTTGCAAAGCATTGTCTGGATGTTTATTGCAAGTCAGAACCAAACGAACGCAACAGCAATTCGAGTACTAGTATTAGATTAATATGAATGATGGGACAGAAACTTATACAGATACTAGTGATAAGGGAGAAAAGGAAAAGAGCAATCATAGCAGTATTGGTGAAAGCAATTTGAATAGCAGCTGCAATAGTGGAATGGTAGTAGTAATGGCTTTGGTAATGATTAAAGTGACGGTGATAGACAATAGTCCCAATAGAAATAGTAAGAGCAATAAAGAAAGTGATAGTGATAGTAATCGGCATAGCGACAGTCATAATAATGGTATTGGCAACAAATAACACTCATACTGGTACTAATAAGAATAACAGTAAAATCTTTTGCAATGGTAAGAACAATCCGCCGACCTTGGGGGGCGTGTTGGATGGTTGCCGAAGGCGGAGAGGGTGAAAACTTCCTTTCTCCCTTACAGCCCCAAAACGCGGGGGGGGTGGGGGGGGGGGTAGGGGGGGTATCCCGGCTTCGTTTCCCTCCAGGTCCCCACCTGCCCCAAGCCCCCTGGAGACCTGGCCCACAGGCCCCTGGGGCCTGG